TCTCTCTTTTCCGGCAAGTTCCCCCCCCCCTCTGCTACACACTCTCTTTTGTATATATATCTCTCGAGTGAAGGAAACACACACTCTCTTCACACGCACACCTCTCTTCGGTGTCACTCTCTCTCTGTCCCCCCTCTCTCACTTCACACGCACACCCTCCCTCTCTTTTGCGCGCCCCTCTGTAGAGAGGTAAATGAAAAAAATATATATATATTTGAAAAAACGCACGCACTCACTCGGTATGTCCGTGCAGGCCCACTCTCCCTCGAACACACACCCCCCCTATATCGGGCCCCCCCCCACGCGCAAGATCTCCCTCCCACACTTCTCACATAGCGCGCTCTCTCTCTCTCGCTCTAGAGAGTGCGAGAGACACACACACATTTTGTTCTCTCTCCTCTCTCTCGCGCGCGCACGCACACACACACACACGTCTATCAAAACACCCTCCCTCTCTCTCACTCGCGCTCTCTCTCGCACACACTCTCTCGCCCCCCTGTGCACACCCACCCACATATATATATATATATATATATATATATATATATATATATATATATATATATATATATATATATATATATGTATATATATATATATATATGTATATATATATATATATATGTATATATATATATATATATGTATATATATATATATTTTTTTTTTAATGAAAGTAGTAAAGTGAAATATTGAAGAATCCGATATAGATTAGTCAAAGGAAAGGGGAGCAGCTACCATACTTTTTGGTGTCACATTTTAAATGGGTTAAAAATGATCTTATTTTCAACGAAATGAGGCAGCTTATTTCTATGGTATATATTTTATTGCGTCATGTCAACATAATTTGGCCGTTGCAATAATTTGAATATTGCGAAATATATTTTGTATTTAACCGGGACAAATACAATTTACCTCCAACTTTCGACCGTTTGGTGAAGACATACGAACTACGTCAATTGACAAACGTTTACTTGCTCCAATTACTAGATCATCTCTTGTTGTACTAAGCTACACTGGGTGAAATGCACTGAATAGATTTTTATCATTTATATAGTTGCAAACACGCAGACACCTACATTGGTGTGTGTAGATTAACAGTAAAGATACAGCTGATGTAACCTTCACCGAGTGTATCATAGAAATAACCAACATAGAATTGCTAAGAGAGGTATATTTATTTGAAAAGAATCAACATAACATTCTTATGATCCTATTTTCTTTTTCCTTTTTTTTTTTTTTTGTTTTGTTTTATTTCGGGGTACAAAGAGGATCTCAAATCAAGAAGATTCAGAAAATCCGATTAGCTTATGAGTAATGCCGTTTAATTAGGGATGGCAATGGGTACGGGTTTAGCGGGTCTTGGACCCGGAACCGACCCGTTTGGGACGGGTCTGGGTCAGCTAAATGGTTTTGGGTCAGGTAATAGGTTTAAGTTTCTAGAATCGGATGATTCTGGGTCGGGTTACGGCTCTCATTTATCTATTTTCACTGTTTTATTTCTCGAATCTCACTTCTCTTGATTTATATTTATCACTTGTCGACCACCGCTAATTGTCTTGCATTTTGAATTTTACTTATTATCGAAGTTAAATATAATTAATTGTAATTGTATTGTTCACGTTATATCACTTGTAGAGATTTTTTTTTAAAATATTGTATTTTAGTATTGAAATTATTTCGTAAAAATATACAAGCAAAATGTTATGAAAGTTATTAAACTTTTTGTATGTTAACTGGTCCAGCGAGTCTGACGGGTCATAACTGTTTAGTTAGGGTTTGGATTGGGATCTGAGTCTAAACTAAAACGGGTTGAGACGGGTCTTGGATTTATATATTTTTCGTGGGACAGGTCTTGGGTTTAGATAAACCCGACCCAGAACCGACCCGTTGCCTTCGTTTACTTAGGTAAAAAGAAACTAATTAGAGAACCTATTAATAGTTAATTATACAACCCACCACACAAAGAAAGAAAGAAAGAATCTATGGCTGGTGGGGGGCGATACGAATAAGGCTCCTATTATATATATATATATATATATATATATTATTTAATTCTCCATTTATTTATTTGATTATATATATTTTTTAAAAAGTGAGTGAATTAATTAAGGTAAAGAGGGGCAGCTAATCCCCAGACTCCGAGTCAGAGTTGGCTGTCCTCTCCAAACTGCAACTCTTCTTATCTTCTCTTTCTTCACATTCTGTATCTATATATTTATATTCTGTATCTATATAGATACCGAATTATTCTGGGATTTTGTATCGAATTCTGGGACCCTTTAAAAGTGTTTTTTTTTGGCTCTTTAACCTGGAATCTCTGTCGGAGATAAAGTTGCGATGTCGATTGTTCACGGCGGTAAGATCGATGGGGTGGTGGTGGGTTCCGACAATTGTGAAAAGATCATTATTGATACCGATCCCGGCATTGGTAAGAACATGGATCAACCTTTTTTTTTTCTTTAATCATGGATTACTGTCTTTTTTTTTATTATTTTTTTTTTTTTTATATAAATTTGGGAATTAGGTAATTGTGGTTGATTTAATGATGAGAGTGAGTGATCATCAAGAAGACTAAAGTTGAGTTTACATATGGTCGAGATCGAAAATCTATACGAAACTAGGTGCATTTCTGTGTAGTTGGTACACTTGGGCCTCGTTTGGTTGGGAAGATTACTTGTTATTTTAAAATAACTGAATAATTGAACTTTGTTTGATGTTTGGTATTGCCGATAACTTGTCAGGTTGACCTGCAAATATAATATTATGTTATTGTCGGGTCGACCTGCAAATATTATGTTATTGTTGGGTCGACCATCAAATATTAAGTTATCATGCCTTATATTACTTTTGGGGAAGGTTTTTTGTTGGACGTTCTTGGGTCTGACAAAATAATTTAGCTTTTATTAGATTATATAATCTTATCGTAGCAACCAAACGAGGCTTCAGGAAAGATTTCAGTTAGATGAATATAAAACTTCGATTTACAGATCTTATGCGAAAAAAATATATACTGCGCATCTCGCATTGAAAGGTATGACATTATAAGGCCCCGTTTGGTTGGCAAGATAAGATTAGCCAAAAAAAGATAAAAATAAATCTAATGAAACCCAATTATTTTATTGGAACTTGCAACGTCCAACAAAAAAACTCATTAGAAGGCAAGATAAGCTAAGATAAGCTATGATTATATGATTTTGGCAGGTCGACCCGGCAATTTATTGGGGATACCAAACATCAAATTAAGTCCAACTATTTAGTTAATCATGGCTTATCTTGGCAACCAAACGGGGCCTAAAGGTATGAAATTATACTCGATTTTGCTTGCAAAAATCGAGCAGGTCTATTTTTTCACTTCGTCTAACTCTAGGAAAGGTTACAAGTGAAGTTTTTAGATATTCGGTGAGGTGATTGATATGCATGCCGAAGTATACGAAAACAAGATTTGTGTTAGTTCTTAGAAGAAGGCAGGCTATCTCTTCTGCACATTAGAGTTTATATTTAGAGAGTTCATACTCAATTTAGTAAAAGTCCGATTCTTCGGAATGTTCCTTAGTGTCCCGACTTTTTTTTTTTTTTTGTGGGATTTAAAGAATCTTTTATCTTATTGATATGCAGATGATAGCATGGCAATATTAATGGCATTTCAGTCCCCGGGTCTTGATATATTAGGGTTAACTACCATATTCGGCAATGTCACTACCGAAGACGCCACACAGAACGCATTGTTTCTTGTACGTGTTCTCATTTACGCAAATTCCAATTTTTTCGTTTTTGCCAAGTATATATTCGTGATCAATTTTTTTTTTGATGCGAAAAAAAGGATAGTGTGAGATTGCTGGACGTCCGGATATTCCTGTCGCACAGGGTAGCCCCGAACCATTAAAGGTAATAAAAAAAATAAAAAATAAAAAATAAAAAAGAAGAATATCCCAGAATTTTCATTATTTTTTTGCAGCAGAATATAAAGTTAATATTTAAATTATATACAGAGAGGAGAGCCACGTGTTGCCGATTTTGTTCATGGTTCAAATGGACTGGGAAATATCTCTTTCCCACCTCCCAAATCAAAGAAATCCGATAAATCCGCATCTGAATTTCTTGTCGATAAAGTATCCGAATTTCCCGGTGAAGTTTCTGTACTTGCACTAGGCCCTCTAACGAATATTGCTCTGGTAAGTTTTTTTTTATTCGTTTTTAATTAACGATTTTGCAATTTATAAAGCATTTCGAAATATATATCTCGTTTCTTGGTTTTTAGGCTATAAAGAGGGATTCTTCGTTTGCGAGCAAGGTGAAGAGGATCGTTGTACTCGGTGGAGCTTTCTTTGCCTTGGGAAACGTTAATCCTGCCGCTGAAGCAAATGTACGAAAATGGCTTATTTATATTTTCTATAAAAATGTTTAATTGAGCTTTTTATTCGGTGTTTTCCTTTAGAACTATGCCATTTAATTTTGAGTTAAAATTACCGGCAGATATACGGGGACCCTGAAGCTGCAGACATTGTATTCACGTCCGGTGCAAATATTGACGTCGTCGGCATAAATATCACAACGCAAGTCAAAATGACAGGTTACAAATTATTCTCTAAAAAAAATCATCTAATATATGTTTTCCGTAAATTAAATTATTGATACGAATTTTGAATATTTTTTCCTCAGACAAACACCTAGACGAGCTAAGGAAGTCAAAAGGAAGACACGCGCAGATTATATGCGACATGTGCAAATTTTATCGCGACTGGCATGTCAAATCCGACGGTGTCTACGGTAATCAACTGTTAATTTAATTTTGTTTTTTTAAATAAAAGAAATACGCGACATTCATTATTGGGACGTAATTTATCTTACTTAATTGATGATTAATTAATCAGGAATATTCCTTCACGATCCGGTCAGCTTCGTTGCATTAGTGAGGCCGGATTTATTCACTTTCAAGAAAGGAGTTGTGAGGGTCGAGACACAGGGCATCTGTGAGGGACATACATTGATGGACCAAGGGCTAAAGAAGTAATTTTCTCTCTCTTTTTTTTTTTTTTTTTAATAAATGTTTCGATTTAATTTTTTTTAATCAGTGAAATGATCTTATTAATTGGGTTCGGAAATGATTGAATGCAGATGGAATTCGAGCAACCCGTGGTCGGGATTTTCTCCAGTTTCGATAGCATGGACAGTTAACGTTGAAGAAGTTCTTAACTATGTTAGTGAAATTCTAATGAAGTTGTGATTTTTATTCAATTATTAACTGTACTCTGTAAATTCATTTTATGATTATTGGAGATTTCTGGAATTCTATTTAATGTGTGTTTGCTACATACGAACACTATCCGGTAACTATTATCAATAAATTAAAGTTGGCTAATATTTTTAGTATGATTCAAAAGCATTCTTTTGTTATGTGCAATATGTCTTTGAGCTTTAAATTCAGATGATAGTTATGATATTTTGGTGAAGTTAAATATACATACCCTTTATTCAGTTTGGGTTGACATCTTAATTTACCCCTTAAACAATATTATAAGGTGATTAAAGTTTAATTTACCCTTAAAAAATATTGTGCCTGACTAGAATGTCAAGTATCAATTAGTTTTTCCATTGTTATCATATCGGAATATATGACTATGTAACGTAAGATATTTGATTAACTATTAAAAATAGTACAAAATATATATCACATAATAATATGATCAAAATGTAAAACTTAACATTTTAAAGTCAACCTATTCATACTAAATAGATCTAAATTCAAGTTTCAACATTAAATTATCGACTAGGACAAAAGTCATAGTTTTTAAAAATGCTAGTTTCAGTTTTATTACATTTGCTAATATAAATTGCTTTTATTATAAATATTTTTTTTGTGGTTTTACCTTAATTAGAAAAGAAAAAGAAAAAAAGCAAACACGATTGTTATAAACAAAATGTGCTGAAAATTTCACAAATTAATTGCCTCAAAATATATTGAAAGTCGCACAAATCACCCCTAAACGTGTTTAACAATCGTCCAAATTACGCTATAAATATGCTGAAAATCGCACAAATCACCCTTAAAACAAATAAAATTATGACCGTATCGTATCAAATATCATATCTTATTGCGGTATCGAGCAATATTTAAATAATTTAGTGGTATTTCATTATAATCTATACATATGACGAGTTGTATTGTTTCCATATAAATCATATTGTATCACGATACATATCGCGATATTGACTACACATTTTTTCCATTGCAACTATACTGGCAATAATTACAATAATCTATATAACGAATAATCGTGAGAAGACCGTCTGCTTCCAGAATTAGTCGCGCAGAAACCTATATATCCGCCGGATTATAAAAAATAATCGATAATTAGTATTACGTGTCACTTATTCATAAAAAGAAAAATGAAATGAGAAACCAAAGATCCAACAATTATATTGCATGCTGATAGTAATTTGTGATTAATCATTTAATTCTTCCCTCCACAGCTAACTGTACAAGCTGACCACATCCCAATTCTCCAGCTTATAAGTTATAACCAAATTTTGAAGAAGAATAATTTGAACTGTTTAATGATATTGTAGCTTTTAGCTACACATAATGTATTTCAAATGAATTAATTAAGTAAACCTCCTTTGACGGCTTCCATTTCAAATTCATAAATAAAAGGGTAAATTACAACCTCCCCTTGAGGTATGGTCAATTTACGAAAAAACCCCTTTTGTTTGAATAATTACATCTATCCCTCAATTATGATTTTTTCTTACACATCCACCTTTATGGTATCAACTTCAACATAATCATCTAGATATCGTGGAATGTGCTCTAGTTTGTACTCGTTATGTGTAAAAATAAAGTTTCTGATGCACCTGATATATATACAAGCCGAAAGACACATATTATGATCATTTTGCTTCAAAATGTAGAGTTCGAATGGGATAAAACGAGTATAAAAGTGATAATATTCCATATAATCTCGATTCTCGAAGATTCCACTAAATTTGAAACTGCAAGGGTGGACGTGTAAGAAGATTTATAGTTTAGGAGTGATTGTAATTACCCAAATATGAGGGAATTTTCGTAAATTAACTATACATCAGGGGTGGTTATAATTTACCTTAAATAAAATGATGTCCATAATACAAAAAAAATAAATAAATAAATAAAAATTGATGCCCACAATGGAATACCTATGGAGTCAAAGTATTGTCTCTTTTTATTGCATAATGAAGCAAAAGTCAAATGTCAATATATTTTAGTCAGACCAATTAATAAAGCAGTTAAACCAATTTAGCCGACAAGTTTGGTCTTATAGGGGCAAAAGTTATTTCCTCTTTTTATTTCGGGATAATTAGTGAAAACCCCCAACACATTTGATTATATTAAGGTGGATTCAGCCCCTTTTCTAATATTAGTGAGACCCCCTCCACTTATTAAATAAAATCTATATTAATTAAAATTGAATTTGACATGACTAATCTATCCCTGAACAACATATCACGGGAGATAAATCCTCTCTCTCTCTTCTCTCTCTCTCTCTCTTATGTGCCGGTCGTTCAATCTTAGGTGGAAGAACAACTAAAACTCCGATAGCGACAACCATCAACAAATCATCCTCTAGGTTAGGTCGTCGATGCGGAAGTCTAAGATGACGTTATGGCCCCTCCTTCGGCAGGATTTACGGAGATGGCAGAAGCTGCTTCCTAGGGTTTCACAAGGGTTGTATTGGAAGATGCAGTTTCTTTAATTTATGTCGGTATTGTTGTATTTTCCCTACCAGAATTGGAATGTTGTTGATTCTGCAGCCATGAAAGTTTTCCTCTCTTTCTATTTTTCCCTCTTTTTTTTTAGGGTTTTCGTTGTGGAGAAGATGGTATTTTAAAAGCCGTTTTCGTCCTAATTTATAGTAATTTTCGCTGGAATCCCAGCCTCCACCACTAGAAGGATAACATTTTTTTCCCGGCGATGATGACTCGGTGGATTCATTCAAAGAGATTTCCTATGTAATAATATGTATATATGAGTAAATTTCTTTTTTGATATGTTCATCGTTGTTTTGTATTTATCGTTCTACGTTTGTTATTGTTTCAAAATGCAGACAATCTGTTGGCGTTAAACATGTAATCATTTATTGTATAGTTTATTAAGATTCATAGTTTAATAAAAAAAAATGATAATTGATCCTTGGTAAGTTTTGTTGTAGACAATCTGCTATCGAGTTTGTTTGATTTTGATTTTTTTATCAATTGAGAGGTTTGAAGTTGATTATATGCATAACGTAACTTTGTAAAACGAAATCAACTATTGTCTGCATTAATCAACTATTTTCATTAAAAAAATCAACTATTAGTTCTTGAAATCAACTATTGTCTGCATTACACAACTATTTTTATTACAAAATTAATTATTAGTTCTTCGATCATCGTAAATAGTAGAAGTGAAATAGTGTTTATATAACAACATCAACATTTGAGTAATAATTTAACAACATCAACTACAGTAATCAACTATTGTTTATATAAAACCAACTATTTAAAACCAACTATTTATGAAAAATAACCTTCCAAAACCAGTTCACTATCACACAATGTTGAAATCAACTATAGAAAAATGCAACCGGAAACAAATAGTACAACTATAACTGTAAGCATCAAAATCGACTAAATAATAAAATATTAGTAAAATCCAGGAATCGAATACCGTTCATCTTTTCATCCTTCATTCCCTTGTAAACCAAAAAAAAAAAAGTTAGGGTCGATTTTCTGAAGATGACTTAATGGGTTTCAAACCTGACTATTTGGCTGAGACGAACACATTTTTCGATGAAAATAACAGAAAAAATGTTTTTGTAGTTGTCTGCGGTCGATTGAAATTAAACGAAAAACAACTACGGTAAAGTTCTAGTAAATTTAGAATATCTTGAGCACTTTTTTCGATGACTGTCACCGTTAATTGAAAGCTTCATCGAATTGTTAAATAAAACCAACTTCACTTTTATGAAATCGACTATTTTCTTTATGGCAAAAAATCCAAGAGCATCAATCATAGACAAACAACCAACGTCAAGTAATCCTACACAGAAATCAAACAGTAAAAAAAAACGACCATTTCTACTATTTCTTTGTTTGTAGTGAAAAAGACTATTTCTAATATTTTAGAATACAACCAAACAGGCTGCCTGCAAATCCACGATACACACCTCAACACACCGAAGCACACCCAAGCAAATCCAAACGACTATTTTTTTACTATTTGTACAAATCAATCAAACACCAAAAACCAAAATCAGGATATATTGTTAGAGGTAAATGTAGTATGTTCGAACACGTCAATTTTAGGTCAATTTTTGGTTTGGCTAACTTACTGGTCGCTCGTAGGCACCTTTCTCACTCACTAATGGCATCAGAAATTATACGGAATAAAGATTTTGGGTTTGAAGGTGGGAGTTTTGGAAGAGATGGGTGTTGCGCGATTTTGGGGATTTCGTGAGATATGATTGTAGCAGTTTTGATTTTGTCGTTTTTATTTTTTCTTATTTGAGTCACGGCTTGTGAGGGTTATTTTTGGTATAACAAAAATAGTGGATCCGCTCCTAATATTAAAAATGTAAGTGGATACGCTCTTATTAAAAAAACACTAGAGGGGGTTTTCACTAATAGTCCCTTTTATTTCTTTAGAAATGCTTTTAATTATGGGTCTATTAGATATAACCCCCTTAAACATTCAAATAATAGGGGTAGACCCAAATTTAAATTTGCCATTTTGATGAAAGCCCAAACTTTTCGTAATTACATAATTACCCTCAATCAAATCCCACAAATCCCGTTACTTTACCTTTTTAAAATTAATAGACTGTCTCATATCTTTTAATAGACTATCCCATGTATCTAATTCGACTATGGGTTTAATTAATTGACTATTCGAAAAAATAATAATATATATGGAAACTGAATAATATGTTTGTTTGAAATACTAATCAATTAGGGTAATTTTCCTTATTATATGAAAACGATTAGGGTAAATAATAATATATATGAAAAAATAATAATATATATGGAAACTGAATAATATATTTGTTATACTAATCAATTAGGGTAATTTTCCTTATATCATGTAATAGACTATCTTATTGATCTAATTCGACTATGGATCTCGTTAATAGACTATGGATCCCGTATTATTCAACCACATAGTATATTAATAATTTCAATATAGTACATTAATCTGCTGTGATAGTATATTACGGTTATAATATTGATATGAAATTGTGTTACAAACAATATACCACTGAAATGACAAGAACATTGAGAACAACACCAACGTAAAGTATTCCACATAACCAATAAAATAGTACATTAATAATCTCATAATTTCAATCAAGGGTTTTGATAAAATACATAAAACACATCATAACACAATCAAACCAATATGTCGAGTTAAAAAGCTCTAGTACATTAATAATCTCATAATAGTATAATAAAATGATAATGGTAGTATCATACGGTATTCATAATAGTATACTACTGTATTACAACGGTTTAACACTTAACCGAAGTTACCGAGCCATTACATCGTAAACACCTCTTTATAGCAATCAACCCACCAAACCTCAACAAAATCCGTACGAAATTCGCCATCCAAAAAACCTAAAATCATGAAACAAAATTAAAAATGCAGAATACTAAAAAATAATTAAATAGACTGCAAATACATTTGAATGATAATACATTAATATCATCAAAAATAAACTTAAAATGCAAAATTCATACGCTAAATTAAAAAAGACTACGAACTATATTTTAATGTACTACCCAGCACACTTAAATCGACTGTTATAAACAAATAAACCAACTATCGATCGGGATAAAAACATGAACTCGACCAAAGCGGACAATTATTCCGATTATTGCATAAACCAACTACGAAGCTCATATAAAACAACTCTGGTCCGATCTGCGTGAACCATCCTCTTCTAACTCTGTCAATCCTCTTCCAAACAAACATCATCGGCCAAGAAAAACGATATATATGACGGAATAATTTTGTTAAAAAACGTTCTACTTAATAGAATCAAGTATCAACACAACTCTTAAAAATTTCTAACCACCGTACACGACAATCATGGATATTGAGCAAAAAATAAAAACGAATAAGGCATTCATACCCGCTTAACAACGTCCAACAACAAACGCTCAAAAATCGATCCTATTTCCACGACGGTGCAGAAATCTTCAATGACGATAAAACCCGCTGGAACGATGAAGAGAATCTTCAAAAAATATTGTACACGATTTGATATAACGGCCAATGATCTCACGTAAATTTATTCCGTGATTTTAGGCAACGTATCAGCAAATCTCAAATCACGTATTAAAGGAAATAAATGCCGTTTAATAATAAAACAGGGGTATTAAAGGAAAATTATATAATATATTTTGCCAAGTTGGCAAAATTGGGTGTATCTCAAAAAGGGGAAAAAAAATTGGATCTACCTCATTAGAAAATATGAACAAGGGGGTTTTCCCTAATAAACCCTTTAATTATTCTCTAGAATTATATGTATATTTGTTCATTACATATAATATATATTTATAGGCTCTTTTTATAGTGTAATAATTAGAAGGATGGATTTGTTTGCGACGCCATTAGTTTTTTTCCTCTCTTTTTTTAATAAATAAAAACTCGGAACTATATATGTGAATTGAGTAAATATTGTTCATGTGCATTTACCAGCAAAAATCATATGCATATGAAGTGTAAATTACACCGGACAATCTCTATGCTCGCCCATGCAGAAAATAATATTATCAATCGAATATCGGGAATACTTATTTATAATTAATACATTATAAGATTGAAATACTCAATTTTTTAAATGGCTAAAAAATAAAGGATAATAAGTACTTGTTTATTTGGATGAGAAACAACACCTAAAAACAAGAACAAATGAGAAGAAAACGCTACTTTCTTTATATATCAAAGTAAGAAATACTAGGGCAATTTAAGAAATCCCGATGGCATATTTGTAATTTTATTTCCATCTCCTATTTTCCGGGCCTTTTTGGCTGTAATTGCAAATCGGCTAGTAACATCCTAATTCACTGGGATAATTTTTCTTAGTTTTACAATTTTTTTTGTAAATCTCTCTCTCTCTTTCACACACGGTATGTGGATTTTTTATTTTAATTATCGTAAGACTACGAAAGCAAAATTTCTCTAGCTCAAAGACACACCACTGGGAATTTCTTTTCTTTTATTGTTTTGCCCCCCTAATTTAACGTTTTTGATGTTGTTTTGGTAATTTAAATTTCACAACTGACTATTTTAATATTGTGTAATATATATATTTTTAATATAAATTAATTATCATATATTTAAATATTCTTTCTTTTTGCATGCAATGTTATCCAGTGCATCGCACAAAGAGAATTGCTAGTCGTTATATTGAATACTAATTATCCCATAACCAAGAACTACTACACAAAATCCGTTTTTTCCCTCTCATTTAATTTAAATGTGGTTATGTTGACAGTTACCAAACCCCAATAACTTAGAGAAATCAAGAACCGTTTCAACTCCTTCACTACATACAAATTGTATCAACTGCATTACTATTACAATTATATTACACCCACTCCAACAACTTAAAAACAAATAAACCAAAGTCATTAATTAAAAAAAAAATCAAACAAATTTGCTCTACTACTCTTTAATCCCTCCTTCCTACAAATACCACCACCCTACCTTACAATCTTATTCACTCCAAACAAGAAACAAAAACGAAAAACAAAAACAAAGACAATAAACATTAATCATAAATTATGTCCCGAGCGAACTCGTCGACAGTTTTGGCAGAAGCAGTTTCATGGTACGCCGCGTTGCTGTTGTCTCTGATGCTGGTCCTGAGCTACTGCGAGCCCTGCGATTGCGGAGAATTCACGACGGCCACGAGTAATAATAATTTGCATTATGTTACGGAGAGGGCGTGCGACGAAATCTACGTTGTGCGCGAGGGCGAGACGCTGCACACCATTAGCGAAAAGTGCGGCGACCCGTGGATCGTTGAGGAGAACCCGCATATCCACGACCCGGACGATGTTTTCCCGGGTTTGGTTATCAAGATCACGCCTTTCAACAACCGGCCCTAGAGACTAGTACTCGTTAATTTTCTTCCGGGTTTTCTCTACAAGGAAATTAGAAGACAATCTATATATAATTCGTATTAATTAGTGCATTTTCTTGTATTTGCGCGCGCGCTCTCTCTCTCGTCACAAATTATTTGAGAGTATTATTTATTGTAGTACTTTCGAAACTTCTTCCAATTTTTTTTTTACAGTAAGCTACATTTTTATTAGGCTATAGCAGCCAAAGTAAGAGGAATATCTGAACCCTCCAAAAAAAATTAAAAGGAAAAAAAAGAGACAAATATATAATGTATAGGGTATTCATTTTGGGAATTGGTCTCCAGAATTAAAGTAGGTTAATTTGTTGGCAAAGTTGTCCTCAATTGGTATGTATATATATATTTTCCGTTACTTGGGGGGGAAGAATCGGTGATTTGAATTCCTAATAAAAAATAAGATGGAAAAGAACAATGATCAATCAATTCTCATGATCGAAATGAAAATTACGGTTCCAAATTCGTATATTTTCGGAGAATTGACGGAATTCGAAAATTTCATACCGATTTCCACCCCTACTACACCCTACCAAAACCCATAATTTAGCCGCTTAATTTGCTCCACCACCACTGCCTCGCACTTCGTTCACCTTCGACGAGAGGGGATCTTTTACTCACCTCCGACCCATGACCTTCCGTCCTACACTTCCGACGCTGCAACACCAGCTTCTGCAAATCCACCGCCCACAACCATCCCAATTCAGCCGCCCACAAACACAAACATTACTCAACCCCTCTCTCTCCGTCGGCCTTCCTAAGTTAGTCCTTGCAATTCTCCATGTTCAGAAATTTCGGAGAAAAAAAAGAAAGACGAGGAAAGAAAATAGGGGACAAGGTTTAGGATTTTAATTAAGTTCTGAAAAATTGCAATTTTACCCCTGCATTTAAAAAAAAATCAATTTAGTTTCTTAACTTTAAAAACTACATGTTTAAGGGCTGGACTTTTTTATTGCAAAAAATCCAAGGGGTATTTTTGTCATTTTATAAGAAAAAGGGAATATAAAATCGCAAATGCGGCAAGTGAGCCACACGATCAGCTCCGATGGTTTTTACCTTTGACTAAGAGCAACTCCAATGGAGTTATTAAACGGGGTATCAAAACCCTTAACTACCATTTTGATAATTCAATTTAGAAATTCTCTACTCCAATGGAGTTATCAAATGAGTTTCTATTTTGATATTTTAATTTTTGGGATTAAAAATACATCCCGAAAAAATAATACCAATTGGAAGTTAAACAACTTAACCACCTAAATAACCAATTAGAAAATAACATGTGTTAATTAAAATATATAATCACATTATTTATTTTTAATTAGGAGCTATTTGATAACTATGGTTGGAACAAATAAATTTTTTTAGGTATCAAACCAAAATATAAAATATTAAATAAATATTTGATAATTAATTTTGATATTTGTGGGTTGGAGTTTCTCTAACAAGCATAGAGAGGTTTTTTCTATTTTTTTATGATATGGGAGAATCACGCAGTTACGAATTTCATAGAGGTAGTAAAATTCACTCGACATGATTCCACTAAAATGGTCATCGCATAAGGTGCAAGAATATAGGCCATTGATGACTACATAGTTTCACTCTTCAAAGTGTATGTTTACACTTTACAATTTGTTTTTTTAAACAAAAGAACCCGAAGAAATGTGTTGTTGATAAATTACCTCGATCGTTTTCATGCGACAACTCGCAAACTGCATGTAAACCGCATTGAATAAGCCGCGATGAGTTCAATATTGATCGTAAGTGTTGGCAAGGGATACATATGTAAACGAGCCGGCCTGAAGAGATTTTTCGAGCTCGATCGAGTTCGATTCTAATTTGGCAAGTTCGAGCTCGATTCTATTTTGGCGACTTCGAGCTCGAGCTCATCGAACTTTTATTTTTGAGCTCAAGCCAAAGTCAAGTTTGTCGAGCTCGTGCCCAATACTTCATTGTTTTATTTTTTTTTTCATTGTAAATTGTTTATGCTATAATAAAATTACAAAATTAAAAATGAACTAATTAAAATCCCTTTTTTCAATTTTTATACGTATTTTTTATTGTATATTTAATAAAAATTAAAAATCTCGCAAGTCAGCTCGTGAGCTCATGGCGCGAGTTCGAGCCCGACAGAAAGCTCGGCTAAAATAAATTAGAACTCAAAGTCGATCTTTTATCAACCTAACTGATCGATCTCACGAGCCAGTTCGACTTGCTTACGTCCCTAGCAGTGGGGAGGCCATAAATGTTTTAAGGGGGGGCTTAAGTATATTGGGGGTCCGGAGGCAGCGCCCCCGAAATTTTTTTTTTAGACATTTTTGCATAAACTAGAGCAAAATAAGTGAATAAATATTAAATTTATTTAAAATAACGTAATTTAAACTCTCAAAAGTAGCATTTCAAAATATAATCAAGTAACCTCTTTACAAATTACAATTGGCCTTTTCGAGTTTTCATTTTTTGAAAACTATTCATAATTGTATCATTATCAATTTTGACGGAGATATCGATCTCTTTCAATAAAGATAAGCAAAGAATCACTCAACCATTCATCATTCATCCGACTTCGCAATCTACTCTTTATGATATTCATAGCTGAAAATGCTCTCTCGACAGTAGCAGTAGCAACCGGCAACGTTAATGCCAATGTCAAAATCAAATAAACCAAAGGATACACCTTGTTTCTCTTAGTTTCAACCATTTTGCGTGCAAGATCACTAATTCCTTTCAAACCAGAAAATTCACTACTTACGCGCATATCAATAACGTAGTTATCCAATTGATCACCAAGCTTACACTTCTCGTGCTCTGTGAAGTCTTGTGGATAGAATTCAACAAGACGAAGTAATTTTTCCTTGTCAAAATGAGAGAATGAATTAGATGGATCAAGGCAAGCAATGCACATAAGCAATTCCATAGTTGAATCACAGAATCGAGCATAGTTCTCCAAGTTGCATATCCACAATAGTGTAAAATGTCTCAATCTTATAATGATGTAGATTTGTCATTTCTTCTTCTTCACCCTCGAGCAATATATTTAGCTTCCATTTGAGGAACATCAACCCCGTGTTTCTTACAAAAAGTGGTTACACAATCAAATAAAGAACTCCATCCACTATCTCGAAAGGATTGAATTTGAATTTTTGACACTTGAACTAATTTCATTGCGTTCACAATATCTTGATCTTTCCTTTGAAGTACTTGAGATAGCTCATTTGTGATGCCCAATATCTTTTTCATCAAAAAAAGCCTCATTATAAAATCAAACGACAAAAGCCTATCAACAATGTCTTGTGATTCTGTCCGATGACTTGTACTTGAAGCATCACGACCAATAATTTGAAGTATGTCAATTACCGCATCAAACATATTGATCAAACTCAACAAAGTGTTGTAATGAGAGCTCGAACGTGTATCACCTACATATATACAAAGAAAAAAAGAAAGAAAGATAAGTGATGCCACATTCATAAAAATGAAGAAGAAAATATTGAAGCTTAAAATAATGTAACCTGCTCGCTTGAGATTCATTTCTTGATTTAAACCTCGCCCACTTGAAATATCCCCATATCAGGTGCCTCGATTATATTTTCAGATTGCTTCTCCCTTAGCAAATCACGACGTTTACATAATGAACCAACAACATTCAACACTCTTGTGGAAAAATCAAAAAGTGAAGAAATATGATTATGCTTCCTAGCAACCGCTACTAAAGCTAATTGTAGCTGATGAGCAAAGCAATGAATATAATATGCACAAGGGTTCTCATTCAAGATAAGTGTCTTTAGGCCATTAAATTGACCTTTCATATTACTAGCTCCATCATAACCTTGACCTCGTAATTTGGAGATACTCAAACCATATCGAGGTAAAAAATCATCAATCGTTGCTTTAAGTGTCATAGCACTAGTATCAGTAACATGTTCAACTCCAAGAAATCGTTCAATCACACTACCAAGTCGACATACCTTACCACTAAGGCCATTTGCTCCTTCATTGATATATCTCGTGCTTCTTCAACCATAAGAAAAAACGTCGAATCACCAATATCACTTATAATTGCTCTTAGAACTTCCATTGCAAATACATTTACAATCTCTTTTTGAATATCCGAACATATCATCTTGTGGTTTAGTGCAATAAAATTTCCTGGATTAGCCGAACTTTCACTTTCATCATGACCACGAAATGCCAATCCCTGTGTTGAGGGATATCGAGCCACCTCAATTGAAGTATTCAAACGCATTTTATATTTACCATTTTCTTTATCAGACTGCTTGCAAACAATTGTCTCAATTTGTTGATTTTGATTTATCAAATCTGCACATTTCCCCCAAGCTTTATTGTGTGCACTATTAAGACCCTCTACATGAATCGACAATTTGTCATTTCTTTTCCAATTAGTAAATCCTTCAGTAACAAAATGATCACCACCCGATTGACCTCCAATATCCGGTTTGTAAAGAGAACAACATAAACAGTAAGCAGTATCTTTGGATACACTTTACTCCAACCAAGTACTATATTTGGTGAACCAAACTTTATTAAACTTTCTATTTTGGTTGCCAAATTTTTTTAGAGGGAAATCGTGGCTATGAGGTTGGCAAGGGCCCTTTTGTAAATATGCTCTACGAACTCGATCTCGATCATTAATATTATACTGTAAAATACCAGGTCTTTGACCAGGATCTGCAGGAAAATCTTCTAAGTTGATCTCCGTTAGTGTTTTATTGGATGAAGAATCGTCATCTTCATGGACGGGAGGCAACTTTCTTTTAAAAAATCTCAGCATAACTGTTTGATAATTTAAAATAAAATGCATTAATCAAAATCAACATAACACTCAATGAAAAAAGTAACATCATATTATAGAACTAAAAATATAAATTCTGTCATAACAAATGTGAAACAAAATTGTTGTATCTCTAGTATTACTTACTGACTTACTGTTAATCAAATTTATTGAACTACATTTTTTATCAGAAGATATACATATATATTATATCACATATTTATATATATGTAAATCTATAAAGCTCATCTACTATGATGATACAAAAATAAATAATTAATTAGAGTAATGGCAAAATGTGTCAGACCTCCTGTAAATCTATAACACAAAAAATTTGAATTTCAACTCTTTATTTTAAACACTAAGACTAAACATACATATATTTGTACAAATCAAAGAAATGAAAATACAACAATGAGTCAAAGGGTACTAATAAATTTATAAACCGTAAAGATAAATAGGTCTAAAATTCACATAATAATATTATTATTGATATTGATGCTAAATTGAGATGAGAGAAAACCTTAATCAATTGAAATATATTGAAACTCGATCTTAGAATAGGAAGGAGAATAAGGGAACTCTATTACTCAACGGAATCAGAATCGGGCAGAAGTAAAATTGGACAGAACGCAAAAGAATCGACTGAACAAAAGTAACGCAGTAGATAAAAAATTAGAATGAAGAGGGCTGAACAAATAATTAGCTTGGGCTTTGATGGGTGGGCTAATCAATTAAAGTTGGGTGAACTAATTAAAAAATAGGATATAATATGGTGAAAATATTTTCAAGTGAGAGTGGGCTTGAGTCCACCCTTGCCCAAGGGTGGACTCGCCCCTGATCCCTAGAGCGGAGAACCCCTATACTGTGGATGAATTACATTCATCTCTTACAATAACCTGCAAACTACATGATAATCGTAACCAATAAACGATGTCCGATGAATTCGATCTAGAGATTGTTGACACGAGGGACTGAACTCACGCCGTTAGACGTCGTGCTCACCACCTAAATCGGCATGCGTACAAATTGTTCTTAATTAAATTTCCTTTTACTTTGGTGTTAGTATCACTGCACATACTTTATTTTCTACGAAATTTCTTTCAAGAAAATTAAGAAAATATCAATGGCGCGTCGGTACACGTATTTGGATTTTTGACTCGATGATAAAATTCCCCCTTGTGAACATGGCGTTTCATATGCTGATTTACATTTATTTTATTTTATTTTAGACCGAGTTGACACGTGTGGTTGAATTAAAGAATACATAGAATTCACATAAATTGCTAAACTAAAACCATTTGACTTGGTTTTGATTTTGGTCCACGCTAAAATCGGAATTGATATATTTTTTTATTTTATTACAGGTGTATCCTTAGAACTTCAAACTGCTTGAAATTATGTATAAAGCAACCATTTGATTTTTATTATATTTTAAATACAACTTAACAAATTTGATATACAACAGAACTTCGATAAATTAATATTCGACAATCAGTAAGTTAATATTTTCCCTTAAAATATTAAATTCTCCCCTTCGGGTCGAAACTTGAGACTTTATGGTGGGTGGCTAAAATATGAGTGTGAGTTAAGAGAAGGAAAAAAATATTTTTCAAGGGCTAAAATGTACAAAATTTAAATCTTAGGAGGAGCAAAGTCTATTATAACTAAATAGATAAATACGAAAATAAATAAAAATAATTAATAAAAAATTGGTAAAAGAAAAAAAATTGTGCAGGGGCGGGAGCCCCCTCACCCACACATGGGTCCGCCCTTGCTCCTGTCCCGACTTGATGAAAACAAGCTAATTATTAATTCGATAATTTAATATTCTGTTAAATTAATAATTTGTTGCTAATACCAACTTTATTAATTTATATAGATTTAATTAATCCTGAGATTGTTTCAACTTAATTTAATTCCACGACTTCGTCCAAGAAATTCGACAATTTAATTTTAATTAGTCAAAGGAAAGACTATCCACCAATAATATTTTTCCTTGTATTTTTTTATTCACAGACTAGTAGAAGACTTCCCCATTAACAAGTCAACATAGGTACATAACTATCCCAGGTTAAAACCTTTTATCCCAATTGTCTATTTTATAACTACAAAATAATTTTCGTCTATGTACATTTAATTTTATAATACTTACTTTTGTTCCTACAAATTCATCAAATGCAATAATTAAAATCCTAGAAAGAATTGGGGAAATATGCAATACACCCCTTATTTGGAAAATATTTTGAACTAAACCCAATTGACTTTAAAGACTTTTCCCATAACCCATATCCCAATCTAAATTAGTGAGACCCCCCTTACCAACCATGATAAGACTAAAATGCCCATATGTGTTAGGTTTTTAACCTAATACAATTTTATTTCTTTCTCTTACATTCTCTCGCTCTTTCTCTCCGTTCTCGTTTTTTTTTTTTTTTTTTCCTTTTCCTTCTTCTTCAGTTCTCGTTCTCTCTCTCTCTATTTCATTCCAATTATTTATTTATTATTTTATTTCTTTTTATTCTCCTCCCAAATTCCTTCTTTTCTTTCGTTTATTCCCTCACCCTTCTTTTTACTCTCTCTCTCTAATTTTCCATTCTTCATACTGTGTGTTTTTTCAATGTTCTCCCAATTTTAATTGTTCAATTTTTTTAATTATTTTGGAACAATATTTAATTATTTTTCTCTGTAAATTCTAAAAAAATCAATTACAAGGGAATCTTTTTTATCCGATTTTAATTTTTGAAAATGCTTCCAATTTTTATTAATCTTTTTTTTCTCCAAAATATACATATATGATACAAATATTGTTGTGTTTTTGAAGTTCGCCGATTTTGAACAGATTTTTCCGTTCCAATTCACAGTTCTTTTTTTTCTTTTTTCTTTTTTCCTTCTTCTTCAAATCTGTAAATCGCCGCCGCCGGCCGAAACCCGTTGCAGGAGGCCCTCCTCCGCTGATATTGGAGATCGTTTCCCCTTCGTCGAACACCACCACATCGACGCCTGGTACAGCTGGCGGCGGCGCCTCCCCACCTTGTCGCCGCCTCCGTCGGATTTCTACATGGAGATTTCCCTTCTCTCGACGATGACTACCAATATATACTATATTAATTGGTAAATTTTATTTTTTTATTTTTCTCGAATTAATTGTCGAACTAGCAATAGAATATGTTATGGATCTGATTTTCAGTTCTATTATTTGTTTGTTATGAACGCATACATTGATTTTCAATTATTCTGGATTTTATTAATTTTTGTGTTATTCTGAATGTTTAGATCTGGAAAACTCATTGAATTACGAGATTAGTCGGTTGTAGTGCAATGTATTTTACAGAGTAGTCATATTTGACAGAGTAGTCATGTTTAACAACTTAGTTACATTTGTCCTTTTTTTTGTAGTGCTGCCTATGTTCAACATTTAACAGTGTAGTCATATTTAATACACAAGATCAAACGGAAGATTAAGTGCGGTCGGTGCAACCGAGTTGGATACCGCAACAAAAAAAACATGTTCGATGGCCATTGTTGAAAGATCACATTAGTTATTTATTGTTTTTTTTAGTCATTTTTTTTTTCTTTTTGCAATGTATTTTGCTATTAATATTGCAAGTTTTTTCAAGTGCTGATTACTTTTAGTCACATTACGCAGAACCTAGTCACATAATAGTCATATTCTCACTTTCCTGTTCAGTCACTGTTATACAAACCGTAGTCACATAATAGTCATATTCTCGTTGTTTTTGTTAAGAATCATACTTCTACTGTCCGTTAATTATGATGTTTTACAAAGTACAGTCACATTCACATAATAGTCATATTCTCGCTGTTTTTGTTAAGAATCATGCTTCTACTGTCTGTTAATTATAATGTTTTACAAAGCACAGTCACATTCACATAATAGTCATATTCTTACTGTTATCTTAATAAATATGCTTCTACAATATGTTAATTACACTGTTATACATCGCGTAGTCACATAATAGCCATATTCAACTATAGTCATAATCGGAGTTGTAAATCTGTCGAGGAAAAAAAAATCAATTTTTTGTTTAAATATATTTTTTTTTATTTTTTATTTTTATTTTGTTTAATCAATTTTCTAATAAAATTTTTTTTTTTTTTATTTTTTAAATTTTTTTCTAAAAAAAATATTTTTTATTAGAAAAAAATTTAAAAAATAAAAATAAAAAAAATGGTTAAAAAATCCGAAAATAATAAAAAATAAAAAACATATTTTTTTTTATTTGATTTGCTAGCAAATTTTTCGGAATTTGAAAGGAAATTTTTAGGAATTAAATTATTGTTATGGAAAGAGAGAAAAAAGGAATAATTGAGACTAATTATGCTAATTGACATAAGGGTAGAATTGGAAATACAAATTCTAGGGGTTTATCACAAAGAAAGATTTAAGGGATGGACATATCACCATTTATTATCTATATGAGGGGTTTATT